CTATGAGCTGTGAAGCCTTGAGCACTGTACCGAGGGCAAAATAGTGAAACTCTCTCTTAAGGAAAAAAAAAAAAATCCTTGCCGGTTGCGGTGGCTCATGCCTGTAATCCTAGCACTCTGGGAGGCTGAGGTGGGTAGATTGCTTGAGCTCACAAGTTTGAAACCAGCCTGAGCAACAGTGAGACCCCTTTACTAAAAATAGAAAAACTGAGGCAAGAGGATTGCTTGAGTCCTGTTTGGAGGTTGCTGTGAGCTATGACACCACTGCATTCTATACAGGGCGACAGCTTGAGACTCTGCCTCAAAAAAAAAAAAAAAAAATCTAGGTGCTTTTGGCTTGTGCCTGTAGTCCCAGCTACTCCAGAGGCTGAGGCAAGAGAACTGCTACTACTTAAGCCCAGGAGTTCAAGGTTGCAGTGAGCTATGATTGCTACCACTGCCCTATAGCCTTGGCAACAAAGCAAGGCCCTATTTCAAAAAAGAAAAAGAAAGTATAAAATGTTTCTGCAGCTTCATCGCAAAATCTTTTTGACTTTGCAGGCTCTGAGAACCTTTTTTTTTTAAGTCTCAAACAGTCGCCCTGGGTAGAGTGCCATGGCACCACAGCTCACAGCAACCTCAAACTCTTGGACTTAAGTAATTCTTTTGCCTCAGTCTCCCAAGTAGCTGGGACTAGAGGGGCACATCACAACGCCGAGCTATTTTTTCGTTGTTGTTACTGTTGTCATTTATGTTTTAGCTGGCCTGGGCTGGGTTTGACCCAGCCATTCTTGGTATATATGGCTGCTGCCCTACCCATTGAGCTACAGGCACTGCCGTCTGAGAACCTTTAGGATGAACTCATGTAGTCTAGTTTAAATGTTTCTCTCATGAACTATGCTGGTTCCAAAAAACATTAAGTTCCAGCAATCCTGGACATCCTTTGAGCTCCTGTTAGACTGCACTGACCTGTGTTTCCTCTTTGGTCAGGGTGAGGACCCTTTCACCAATGAAACTGTTGATCCAGAAATGGAAGGAGATGACAACTTAGGAGGTGAAGATAAGGAAGAGACACCTGAGGAGGTGGCTGCAGAAGTCTTGGCCGAGGTGATTACAGCAGCAGTGAAGGCTGTAGATGGGGAAGGAGTGCCCTCTCCAGAGATTAGTGAAGTGCCAGTCAAAGTGGAAGGCCCCATGGACACAGTGGAGGCCAGCAGTGATGTCCAGGCTGAACAACCTCTAGAAGAAGAGGTGCCCTGTGGAACAGCTTCTGGGAAGGGGACCATTGAAGCCAGAAGTGAGGCTGAGACACTGGCAGCTGAGGCAGAAAATGTAGGGACTGCAGCTGCTCCTGCCCCACCTGCCGCGGAAGCCAAAGTGGAACAAACTGATGCAGAGTCCAAAGATGATATTCCCATAGAATGATCTTCATTTCCCTGTTTCAAGGGACATATTATATACTGCATTGCTTTTTCTTTGGTTTGTAAGCAGTACTAGGGTGTGTATTATTGGAATATGCTCTAAACTAATTGGTGAAGAGACCTAGCCATTTCCTTCTGAACAGTGTACCTCATGGGCTTGTTTTATACAAGCTTTTAAACTCAGCCAGGGTTTAAAAGCTGCAGAAGTTGTACATTCCCCCCCAAGCAGCTGTTATGTATCCATTACAATGCAGTTGCAATAATTAATAAAGATTGGATGATCAGCCCTTGATGATACTTCCCTTGTTAAATACACCCACTGGCTGACCGTCTTTTGCTTTTTTTTTTTTGGTTGGGAACAGCTCAACAATAAGAATATATTTTACTTTCTAAAAGATTTTTTCTTTTTCTTTTTTTTTTTTCCAAACATTTGCTTTGGCTTCAGTTTTGCCCTCTGCTTATGTAGCATACTCTATAGTTTGTGATCCTCACAAGATGTGGCAGCATCTCATTAATGTCTGGTGTTGGCTATGTCATATCCGTGAACTTTGTCAAAGGTCTGATGAGTCTGACTGACCTACACCACTGGAAGCTCACCACTTGACCCTCAAGAATGAGAATACTTTGAAAGAGACATTGTTTTCCAATCTTCAGTCCTTGGTGAATCACTTTTAGGATATTTTACCTCATTTTTGTTCCATCTCTATATTACTTCAGGTTTTTTTTTTTCTTTAAATTGAGTCAATCCCACTTAAGTGTATTTAAAAAGGCAACTTACATCACTACTATAGATGGAAAACCAGTATAAATTGCCATAGGTAGATGCTATCTGTAAAATAATACAGTGGTATAGACATGTTTCATTTTAGATAAATACTATTCCTTTGGAGGTTTCTGAATCTGAGAAAAGGAGGCTAACGTATTAAAGGGTGGCATGCAACAGTTACACTTTAATATCATCAGAAGAATTGGAAGATCCTTCACTTTTCAAATGGTCCTGCTGTGTCTGTTTCCCTGGAAATCTTTGAACTGTATACATCTCACATTTTGGGAAATCTTGGCCAGTGGGAAATGAGAGAAAAGAGGCAATAAAATATTTGATGAGCATCTATTCTATATCAGGTGCTAATTCATGATAAAAATTCTAAGATATGGGCACTGCTCTCAAGGAGCCTTATTGGAATTGTGAATATGAAGATGTCAATATTAGAACAATAAACTGCTTAATAAGAATGATGCCTCTTATTTCTTCTCATCATTCTTTAATGCTGTGGAGATGTAGCTTAATTGCAGGCTACACATGCCCTTTGAAACATATT